ACTATGTTTTGTGAATATTTTTTGGATAAATGTTCTTTGGTTTTAAAACCCCAAATATAAAAAATGAGTGTGTTTCCGGAGGATGAAAAAATTTTTCCCCCAAAAATTTATCCCTCCCCCCCATGGGGGCCCTTTTTTTGTGGCCCCCCCCCCCCCCCTCCGTCTCCCTCGTACATGTATTTCCATCCCAGGGAATGCTTGGGCAGGTGTGAAAACAACTTGACAAAGTCTTCCTTACTCGGTAACAAAAAGAAAGAATGAAAGAGTATATGCAAAAGTGATTCTCTTATTTTCGGCCAGAGAGAGAAATTCAAACATACCATTTATAGCAGGCCTAAGATGGTCCATAAATGACCCAAGAACAACTTCCAGCACATCATGATCCAAAATCAACATTCTGGCCTAAATTAAAAAGAAAGCACATTTCATGAATGCTGCAAACCTCTGTTACGTACATGGAGAAGCAAATTAATTTATTTGTCAATATTAATGAGGGGGAAATTTAAAGAAATATGTTAAATACCCAGCACCAGCCAGGGTTGATTCTAATATTTCAAGTCACCAGCTACATTCGTTCTTATGATGTTCTGTCAGACATGATATACAGTGTAGTGGTCCTTACTGGAATGTCTAATAAAGCAACAGCTTGAATTTCGCTATTTTATGGATATTGATATGTCTAGTAATATATATTTCACGATCTTAATCTTCACGAGTATTAGATTTCGCAAATATTAAATTTTGTAATTTTTTCCTAGTGATGAAAATCGGGAAAATTAATAATCGCAAAATTAGCATATTGTGTATGTACATGTATGTCTGTTGTATAAAGAAACACAACTGACTTCACTAAATAAAATGTTAAAGGTAGATTCAAGTTACCTAATATAAATCTAAGAATCCTTTTATCACGTTTTTCTAGTTTTTCTGCATTTCGCACTCCACAGAAATGCCATACTGATGAGCAATATTGAAAATGCAGAAGGGTGAATGCCTTGTACAGTTTTGCCAATGTCGTTTAGGTAATCAGTTTTTTTAAATGCAACATGATGTTAAATTGGGTTCTACAGTGAAACCTCTATATATTTAAGGGGACACCTTCAGGACCTTCCCAAGTGTCTGCTTGATAGAGGTTTGTAAAAATTGCACAATGTTTGTTAATGATTAACATTCAGTGGTTACTCTGTACTGTCAGCGATAAAGTTCCACGTTGTTAAGGAAGCTATCCAGAATTCAAGTTCATTACCTTTGATTACCAACCGGATATTGGTCGAAATATCTACAGTTTATTGACAGCTAAATGTATGGATTTATCTTTATTAATCGACTTCAGTACGTATTTCAAGGACGTAATCCAATACTACTATTGTCAATTCAGTCCAGTGTCCGCTTAACAGAGGTGTTTAACAAAAGAAATTAGCCAAATATAATTTATTTTAGTGTCCGCGTCTGCTTAATAAAGGTGTCCGCTGAATAGGGGTTCGTTATAAAGGAAAATACAAAACGTTAATTTCAGGACGCAGCTTAGTGTCCGCTTAGTAGAGGGTGTCCGCTTAATTGGAGGTCCACTTACTAGAGGTTTCACAGTATTTCCTATTAAAGTATCCATGGGTGTTGCTCAAAGAAGCTAAAGGGAAACCCCTCAGGGGAAACCCCTAGCTCCCATTCCTTTAAAAGTGACAGCCTTGACTGTACTAACCCTTGAACAGTTTTACTGTGAGATACACTTGACTGTACTAACCCTTGAACAGTTTTACTGTGAGATACACTGTAAGAGTACAAAGAGAGTACAGAGAAACTGGGTGGGATATTAAAATTTGAATTATGGACTGGTGGTTTTCGAAGTTTACAAGGTTTACAACTGCAACAGTCTTAGCTGGTCATGCATACAATGCTTAAGTGGTCTGACAGTAAAAGTGCATAACATCTTGTAAGCATAAAATTTTACAAGGCTAAATGGTGATGCTTTGCTTTGTAACTGGTGTAACTTTGCCACACTCCATCAACTCCAAAAACTGTAATAAGAGTAACACAGGGTCAGTAATAAAATAACTTACTATTGTGGGAACAGTGAAAAGCTGAACTGACAGAGAGGTCACCTGTGATGGAGTAAACAAAAATTTTTCATTAGTTCCTTAACTTTTGTAGTAGCTTGTACATGTACATGTATGTCAACATTCAATGGCACCACTGGACATGGTCAATGGGAAACATGGCTGGTCATCGCTGCTTTTTCAAAAGTGACTCATACTATGGTACGAGTTATTCAGCTGAGGAGAATGGTGGATTTCTATTTATTATATAAATAACGCAATTGCATCCTGGCTTCTGCACTTACTTGAGATCTATCATCATGTAATAGGCTCTCTTCAGTTTATGGAAGGAATGCTTCTGAAACTCAAACGTTCCCCGTTCTAAAATGAAATAGGTCACCATATTAACCAACAACAGTCAGACTGACATAATGTGTACTTAGGGTGCACCAAAACATGTGTCTGATTGTCCGGGACAGGTAGAAATTAAGTTCAGATGTGTAAACCTTTGACATGAAACAGTTCAAATTACAGTAGAATTACTTCTGTTGAGACGTATGCAACTCACTTTCAGGCTCAAATTCGGGAGTTTATAATCGTGAAATCACAAAAAGTCCACAAAATACAGTCTTCGTGCTTAGGTTTCTTTCAAAGCAACCGAGAAAAGAAAAATCTTGCATACTAGGAAAGAATTAAGTGAATCAAGAAGACAATTAAACGCCCAATTATTTTTCGAGAATCAAGTTTTGAGCAAAACTTTTTGGACAAGAACTCTTTCTCTCGTACATGTATTTCCATCCCAGGGAATGCTTGGGCATGTGTGAAAACAACGTAACAAAGACATCCTTACTCGGTAACAAAAAGAAAGAATGAAAGAGTGAATGCAAAAGTGATTCTCTTATTTTCGGCCAGAGAGAGGAATTCAAACATACCATTTATAGCAGGCCTAAGATGGTCCATAAATGACCCAAGAACAACTTCCAACACATCATGGTCTAAAATCAACATTCTGGCCTAAAAAAATTGAAAGAACATTTCATGACATATGCCGCAAACCTCTGCTGCGTACATGGAGAAGTAAATTTATTGGTCAATATTAACGAGGGGGAAATTTAAAGAAATATTTTAAATACCCAGCACCAGCCAGGGTTGATTCTATTATTTCAAGTCACCAGCTACATTTGTTCTTATGATGTTCTGTCAGACATGATATAGTGGTCCTAATTGGAATGTCTAATAAAGCAACAGCTTGAATTTCGCTATTTTATGGATATTAATATGTCTAGGATTAAATTTCACGATCTTAATCTTCACGAGTATTATATTTCGCAAATATTACATTTTATAATATTTTCCCGGTGGTGAAAATCGCGAAAATTAATACTCCCAAAATTAGCATATTGTGTATGTACATGTATGTCTGTTGTATAAAGAAACATAATTGACTTCACTTCACTTGTTATAGGTAGAATCAAAGTCGCCTAATATAAATCTAAGAATCCTTTTATCAAGATTTTCTAGTTTTTCTGCATTTTGCGCTCCACAGAAATGCCATACTGATGAGCAATATTGAAAATGCGGAAGGATGACAGCCTTGTACAGTTTTGCCAATGTCATTTTGGTAACCAGTTTTTTTAATTGCAACATGGTGTTAAATTGGGTTCTATTTTCCTATTAAAATACCCCTGGGTGTTGCTCATAGAAGTTCAAGGGAAACCCCTAGCTCCCATTCATTTAAAAGTGACAGCCTTGACTGTACTAACCCTTGCATGGTTTTACTGTGAGATACACTGTAACAGTACAAAGAGAGTACAGAGAAACTGGGTGGGATATTAAAATTTGAATTACGAACTGGCGGTTTTCGAAGTTTATAAGTTTACAACTGCAACAGTCTTAGCTGGTCATGCATTCAACGCTTAAGTGGTCTGACAATAAAATGCATAACATCTTGTAAGCATAAAATTTTACAAGGCTAGATAGTGAGGCTTTGGTTTGTAACTGGTGTAACTTTGCTACACTCCATCAACTCCAAAAACTGTAATAAGAGTAACACAGGGTCAGTAATAAAGTAACTTACTATTGTGGGAACAGTGAAAAGCTGAACTGACAGAGAGGTCACCTGTGATGGAGTAAACAAAAATTTTTCATTAGTTCCTTAACTTTTGTAGTAGCTTGTACATGAACATGTATGTCAGCATTCAATGGCACCACTGGACATGGTCAATGGGAAACATGGCTGGTCATCGCTGCTTTTTCAAAAGTGACTCATACTATGGTACGAGTTATTCAGCTGAGGAGAATGGTGGATTTCTATTTATTATATAAACACCAATGATATACCAGGTGAGCTTTTGCGCGAAAACTTGGTACCTTCACATGTAAAAAATAACACCCTTGCTATGGCTACATAATAAATCGTGCCTTTCACACCAAAAAACTATTAAAGTGAAATGGTTTGGTAGTTCATTGGTGTTTATATAATAAATAAAATATTACATGGCCGCTTGGAGATACGAAATTTCTCTTCTTATGTTGAAAAATATTTCACTTGTTCGCGGCGCTCACTCGTGAAATATTTTTCAACACTCGAAGAGAAATTTCATATCTCTGCGCGGCCATGTAATATCCTCTATCAGTCTTTAACACATTAACGTCATAATCAGTGCACAAAGCACTGAAATCCTTTACTCACCGATACAATGTGCTCGTGATCATCATCAACGAAGTCTTTTTGAATGTGATTATAATGCTGTAAATTCAAGACATTTCTAGCATCAATGCAAGTTTAAACATCTCCACTAATACTTACTCATGATGAGTTACGAGATATACTTAACTATAACTCAAAACACCACCTTTATTCTCAGTTTAATAATTACAAAACTGAGCTATCTGTACAACAGAGTCACTGAGAAAACCATCCATTTTTAGATTAACAAGTTTAATTTTTTTAGTGAATTTTTTCTTTGGCTACTACTAGGNCATTCAATGGCACCACTGGACATGGTCAATGGGAAACATGGCTGGTCATCGCTGCTTTTTCAAAAGTGACTCATACTATGGTACGAGTTATTCAGCTGAGGAGAATGGTGGATTTCTATTTATTATATAAACACCAATGATATACCAGGTGAGCTTTTGCGCGAAAACTTGGTACCTTCACATGTAAAAAATAACACCCTTGCTATGGCTACATAATAAATCGTGCCTTTCACACCAAAAAACTATTAAAGTGAAATGGTTTGGTAGTTCATTGGTGTTTATATAATAAATAAAATATTACATGGCCGCTTGGAGATACGAAATTTCTCTTCTTATGTTGAAAAATATTTCACTTGTTCGCTGCGCTCACTCGTGAAATATTTTTCAACACTCGAAGAGAAATTTCATATCTCTGCGCGGCCATGTAATATCCTCTATCAGTCTTTAACACATTAACGTCATAATCAGTGCACAAAGCACTGAAATCCTTTACTCACCGATACAATGTGCTCGTGATCATCATCAACGAAGTCTTTTTGAATGTGATTATAATGCTGTAAATTCAAGACATTTCTAGCATCAATGCAAGTTTAAACATCTCCACTAATACTTACTCATGATGAGTTACGAGATATACTTAACTATAACTCAAAACACCACCTTTATTCTCAGTTTAATAATTACAAAACTGAGCTATCTGTACAACAGAGTCACTGAGAAAACCATCCATTTTTAGATTAACAAGTTTAATTTTTTTAGTGAATTTTTTCTTTGGCTACTACTAGGAGACTCAAGATCAGCAATCAACAAACTAATGTTACGAGAATACTGAGATAAAGTTATGACCATTTGCCAGGGGCTTTAAAAGCCCACTGCATTCAAAAGTGAGAATTCCTGCCTGCCAAGTGCACAAGAACTGCCTATTTATTTATCATTTTTTTTATTATTGTTTTATGTTATAAAGTACAAATGTTGCCACACTGTGCACATGTATGTACCTTGGTAAAATGAATTGCAAAGGCTTTCTTTCCCACAGGATCCATAAACATTCTACAAAAAATAAACCTCACATAAGTCTAAAATGGCACTCCATAGTATGAACTTTGGATCAAGGTTTATTTTTGAAAATGAATAATCATCACAGACACCTTGAAAATTCTGTACTTACGTGTTCATGAACAATTTGTGGGAGTGTGCCCTGGCAACTGTTAGATAAAAACCAAATGTCAGCACAAAAAGATTGCTGCTACACTGTACCACTCGATTCTTCTGTCCCTTGTACTTACAAGGAAGTGATACAAACATGCATGACGATGAATACAAAGATGATTGATCACATTATTATCTTGTAGTGCTAATGATGAGAATGATGTTAACAAAAATAACTGAATACAATGATGATATGATGATGATGATGATGATGATGATGATGGTAAAGATAATGATGACGCTAATGATAATGACGATAACGATGATGATGATGACGACAGTGAGTCAATTAAACATTTTCACGCACGTTTTACCTTACGCTGTTAGTAATAATGTCATAAAGATGGGCTTGACTACACGACAAAAACAAGTTACATTACCTTTCCACAAAGTAGAATCAGCTAAAAGAACTCTCCCAAGCAGATCTGTGTCCTCGTCTTTAGATTCAAGCACAGTATTGCAGAGTATTCTCCTGAGACCATCTGGAAAAGACAGGAGACTGAAATTATTTACATTTATAGTTTGCTAATCAAAAGGATAACTGTACACATGCAAGGGTGTATCGCTCTTAAAGGTGTCTTTACTAGATTTTCCAAAAACTAAATGAGTGTATAACTATGATTAACATCCATCTTAAAAGAGTTTCTTGATTGCCAATGGATACGATAGTTGCCTCCATGATGTTGCCACCAAATTTTTGATAACAATACAGGTGTTTCGTGGTGTAGCGGAAACTGTTGTTGGTTTGCTTTTGTGTTGTGGAGAGCAGGGGCGGATCTAGGGGGAGGATGCAGGGGGTGTGCACCCCCCCCCCCCCTTAGATGGCCTNAAAGAAGTTGTTGCGCTGCGGTTCGAAAATCCCACAGCAAAGAAATTCTTCTAGTTAAATTTATAACCGCAAAAGAAGTTCTTACGTCTTGCTGGATTCAAGCGCAAGCGCCCTGCAAAAAGCCGCACGAAGTTGCAGCTTGCGGACGCAAAAAGAAGTTCCTGCACTCGCATTATTTTTGGGCTGGACGTTTTGTACTTAGGTAGCTATACTTTTCCATATATTCATTCATTTTCTTGTGAGGATCGGATCGGATCACAACTTGCATATTTTTTTAAAAAAAATTATTTAATTTTGGTAAACCTTTAAGCAGTTGCAGGCGGTAAGAAGTGTTGCTTCAGGCGGTAAATTTTACCGGTTACCGCCTGATAAGGAGAACACTGTTCTTAGCCCTAGAATTGTCACCATCTTTTGCACACAGTTATTGATAAAATCCTACAATTTCTTAGTCCACTACATCTTTGAACCCCATGTTTGCCTTGTTCTCCAACAACTGGCAAGCAAAAAATCCTCAACCTTGTACATGCCTTGAAACTCAAAACACAATTTAGGTAAACTAAACTACAAACCAGAATGAACTGCAATCTTGTTTAGCCACCCAAGCATCTGAACGGCAAATATTTGATGGGCAATGACTTTGTGATGCATAACACGGCACTTCAGTGGCTTACGACTGGGACCCGATGTACCACTCTGTGATACAAAAAATATATAAAAACAGTGTAATAACATTTATGAGAATTTGGATTGATTTACATTGTATTGTCTCAAAGGAGAAAATGTACCAAGTAAGTAACCTACAAAAAGGCCATGTCAGCAAATAAAAAATGCAGTTTATTTAAACTATTTACGAGGTGTCAAATCAAAGGAAAAAACTTACTAGCAGACAGAAGCTTTTGAATCCATCACTGAATCTTTATCAAGTGATGGCTTATTAATTATTTATCTTAATAAGTTTTCTATCCAGGGATTTGAAACCTTGTTTACTTAACCTAGTTATCACTGTGACAGGAGTAAGTAACTCTTTCTCAAGTTTCCTAGCCTTAATTCACGAACAATTAGGACTAGGAGACAAAGAAAATATTGAATCAATCTAGGATAAAAATTTCAACTTGCATTTAATTTTGTATAGGTAATAGCATGATTTGTAGTGATATTTGGCATAAATACCACGAGTGATATTTCGAAATTGTTATACGTAATTTCACGAGCCGTTAGGCGAGGGAAATTTGAGACAATTTTGAAATATCACGAGTGGTATTTTTTGCCAAATATCACGTACAAATCATGCTATTATTTGTTTATACTACTACCCGCAAAAGGTTTGTAATTTTCACATGTAGGTATTTCAAATTAAGTTGAAATACCACTGCTCTAAGCCAATCAAATTGCAGAAATTGCTCATGTAGTGGTATAAGACCTGTAATACACACCTGCCTCCACAAAACAGCCCCCTTCACACAATGGCCACCGAAAAAATAGATAGTTTAAAAGGTAGCTATGTTATGTATAGGATCAGATGTAACACCACTCACCTTGATTATTTTTCTGGACTGCTCACATTGGCTATAACTCCCTGACCTCACAATTGATCTTCCCTGTATCGTGAAAAACATTACTTATTAACATGGCGAGGATGATGATTCAAAATGAGGAAGATTATGTAACTTGCGATAGATGAATCTTGGCAGACCTCATCAAATACATGTGCATTTTTGCTCACTAGCATTGTTGACCCACAGAAGTAGCCTAGCCTGAGAAAACAGTCAACGTTATGCATCACACCACCGGTTGGTTTCCCCATGAGATGACACCTGAGGAACAACCACAGATGTTACTGACCAGAATTTGGTAGTGCTTCAGATTGGTTGAAGCAAACTTCCCTCACAGCAGTGACCAATCAGAAGCACTACTCAAATCAGGGTAGTGACACATCATCAGTACGGAATTTCTCCAGTCGGTCCTCAGACCGGAAACCAGTGGTGACTTAGCGAAATGTCGGCCCTTCTCTCAGCCAGGCTACAACAGAAGGTGATGCCTTTAAGTTCAAAATTTGATTGAACTGATCTTAACTTTAATAAGCCAATTGTACAATTCCA